TAGGGGTCTTGTTCTAGCTCAGGCTGGTCTCAAACTTGTGAGCTCAGGCGTCAGGTCAGGTGCCTGTAGTCCCAGCTACTTGGGAGGCTGAGGCAGAGGGGGTCACTTGAGTGTGAGAGTTTGAGGTTGCTGTGAGAGATGACACCAGGGCAGTCTACTCAGTGTGACAGAGTGAGAGTCTTGTGTCCAAAAAAAAAGAAAAGAAAGAAATCTTTACATGTCAAAACTATTGTTCCAGCATGATGGAGAAATTAAGGCATTTCCAGCTAAATGCAAGCAGGGGGAATTCATTATAGTAGGTTTGCCTTTTAAGAAATGCTAAAGGGGCCGCTTGGTGGCTCACCCCTGTAATCCTAGCACTCTGGGAGACTGAGGCAGGTGGAATGCTCCGAGCCCAGAGGTTTGAGACCAGCCTGAGCTAGAGTGAGACCCTGTCTCTACAAAAAAAAAAAGCCGGTGTTGTGGTGGATGCCTGAAGTCCCAGTTAACTGGGAGGCTGAGGCAAGAGAATTGCTTAAGCCCAAGAGTTGGAGGTTGCTGTGAGCTGTGACACCAGGCACTCTACTGAGGGCCACAGAGTGAGACTCTGTCTCAATAAAATGAATAAATAAAAGAAAATTATAAAAAAAACCCTCAAACGAAGACAATTGAAAGCAAAATTAAAAAAACAAAAACACAAACAAACAAACAAAGAGAAATGCTAAAGGGAGGGCTTCTGGCTGAAATGAAAGGACACTAGACAGGGATTCAGACATAAGGAAAAATATGCCAGGCGCAGTGGCTCGCGTCTATAATGCAGCTACTTAGGAGAAAAACACAAGTATACAAATATAGCCTAGGGAGCGGGAGGGGAGAGGAGGGGGAAGGAAGGGTGATTGGTGAGATCTCACCTAATATGCGAGAAGGCGTTGTGCAAGCCTCCTGAGTGAAGGGCTCAGCTACAACTTGAACTTTATCTCAGACATAAAAACAATGTAACCTAAACACTTTTACCCTCATATGAATCTGAAATTTATTTATTTATTTTTTGAGACAGTCTCACTATGTCACCCTCAGTAGAGTGCTGTGTCATCACAGCTCACAGCAACCTCAAACTCTTGGGCTTAAGCTATTCTCTTGCCTCAGCCTCCCAAGTAGCTGGGACTACAGGCG